TACTGTTTTTTATGTAGATTCAATCTCTAGGACTGAACACTTAAAGAGGAATAAATTAGACTTATTATAATAATTCACTATATTACAATCATATTTGACTGGGAAAATATCAAAACTTTTAGGTAAAATTAATCTAGTCTGTGATTTTGGACAATCATTTGCTAAATCAGTAGCTCTCTAGCACTTACCTTGTAATTACTCACATACTTCATCATTTTCACGTGGAAGGAGATAAGGAATTATAAGGGGAAATGTCATAAACTACAATTTGTAGTAGCTCCATTTCTGAAGTTGGCTAGTTTTGCAAATCCTTTGGTGAGGATTTTTATTTTTTTTTATTCTGAGGTGTAATTCATGGTGAAGTCTATAAACTCTGGTCTTCTGCACAAATGTTTCCTCTTCCCTTCCAGCAAGCAAAGTTGTGTCAGCTACATAACACAGGCTACTGATGACTAGTCCTTCAATCCTGATGCCGCATTCTTCTTCACAGAATCCAGCATCTTGAATTATTTGTTCAGCATTCATGGAAAGGATAAAACCCTGACTCACATATTTCCTCATTTTAAACTATGCAGTTTAAAAATCCTCACAAGTAGACAAATAGACAATATCACAACAGATGGAACAAAGTGAAGTTGTCAACAATTTCATTTTACTTGGATTCAAAATTAATATCCATGGTAACAGCAGTCAAGAAATCAAAATGTGACAGCATAGGAAAATGTGCTGTCAAGGACCTCTCTTATGTGTAAAATAGTAATGATGTCAGTTTAATGATATTTTGATTTTTCAATTTCTTCCTATGCATATGAGAGTTGAACAATCAATACAGATGGCAAAAGAAGAATCAATGCCTTTGAACTAAGGTGGTGGAGAAGAGTATTGACTGTCTCATGGACTGCCAACAGAACAAACAAACATGTCTTGGAGAAAGTACAACTAGGGTGCTCCTGAGAGGCAAGAAGGATGAAACTTGCTTTCGTGGACTTTGCACATATTGTCAGAAGTGTCCTGTCTTTGGAAAGATGGGAAAGATGAAGGGCCAGAGAAAGAGAGGAATACTATCAATAAGACAGATTGAAAGATTATTGTAACAATGGGCTTGGACATGGGGATAATACAGGACAGGGCAGTGTTCTATCTGTTGTTCATATGGTTACTATGAGCCAGTGTCAACTCAACCTCCCAGAACAACAACAGATTATCAAGTGCAATAAATATTAGTGGTTGTTGTTGTTGTTATGTGCCATTGAGTCGCTTGCGACTCATAGCGACCCTATGTACAAGAGCCCTAAATGCCGTTCTATTCTGTACCAACTTTGCTGTGTCAAACACACTCATTCCCACCACTCTACTCTCAGAATCGATCCATCTCATTGAGGGTCTTCCTCTCCTGCACTGTCCCTCCACTCTCCCAAACATCATGTCCTCTCCAAGGACCAGTCCCTCCTTGCAACATGCCCAAAGTATGCTAGATGAAGCGTCAGAATCTTTGACTCCAAGGAGCATTCTGGCTTCACCCTCTCCAAGACAAACCTGTTTGTTATCCTAGCAATCCATGGTATATTCAACACTCTTCTCAAGCACCACAGCTCAAAGGCATTGATTCTCTTTCTATCATCCTATTCACTGTCCAACTCTCTGATGCATAGCACATAATTGCAAAGACTACAGCCTGGATCAGGCATACCTTAGTCTCCAGACTGACGTTGTTGCTCTTCAGTACTCTTGAAAGGTCCCTCACGGCTGCCTTTCCCAATGCAATTAGTCTCCTGATTTCCTGTCTGCTGTTACCAAGAGTGTTGACTGTGGAACCAAGTAAACTCAAACTGTTAACTGTCTCAATCTCTTCACCATCCATACTGATGCTGCCAATTGGCCCTGTAGTGAGAATCTTTGTTTTCTTGATATTGAGTTTCATTCCATATTGAAGACTGAGTCCTTGACCATCTGCAGCAAGCGCTTCAGGTCCTCCTCAGTTTCAGCAAGCAGGGTGTGTCATCTGCTTAATGCAGGTTATTGATGATTCTTCCACCAATCCTGATGCCAAATTCTTCCTCGTACAGCCCAGCATCTTGGATGATCAGTTCTGCATACAGATTGAAAAGGTATGGAGACAAAATACATCCCTGATGGACCCCCTTCTTGATTTGAACCATGTAGTGTCTCCTTACTCTGTTCTGACAACTGACTCTTGGTCCAAGTATAGGTTTCGCATTAGCACAGTCAAATATTCTGGGATTCCCATTCTTCTCATAGTCAGCCATAGCTTGTTGTGATCCACACAGTCAAAAGCCTTTGCATAGTCAATGAAGCACAGATAGACATTCTTCTGCTATTCTCTGCTTTCTGCCAAGATCCATCTAACATTAGCTATAATATCCCTAGTACCACGACCTCTTCTAAATCCAGCCTGCACATCTGGCATTTCTCTGTTGACATCTTGTTCCAAACATTTTGGATAATTTTCAGCAGAATCTTGCTAATTGGTAGTGAGAAGAAAAAGTAAATTTAAATTTAGCATAATATGAAGAACTTATTAAATGTAAAGTGATGGGTTGAATTAGAATGAAATATAGCTCTTTAACTTAAACTTTTAAAGGCAGTTTTAAAGTTAAACAATGGCAAAAGCAAGATTTTTACGGTACAAAGTCTATAAACAGGTAAAAGACATGTTACTTATATAAAAGAAAATGCACACTTCTTCATCCAACCATCCAGGTTGTTATTTACTAGGAACTATACTGGAGGCTTAGAAATGTTCTCCAATAAAACATGTTGTTATTAGGTGCTGTCAAGTCAAGGAGTATAACTCATAAACCTAAGAACAACAGATAAAAACCCTGTGCTATCCTGTGACACCCTCACAATCTCTAACACACTTGAGCCCATTGTGGCAGTCACTGTGTCAAACCACCTGGTTGAGAGACTTCCTCTCTTTTGTAATCTCTCCACCTTCCCAAGTATGATATTCCTCTCAAAGAAATAGCCTCTCTGAGCAGCACTGCCCAAGTCTGTGAGACAAAACTTGATCATTTTTGCTTCCAAGAAGTATTCTGGCTGCACCTGCTCCAAGACATATTGATTTGTTCTTTTAGCAGCCCATGGGATATTCAGTACTCTATCCAATTGACTCAAAGGCATCAATTCTTCTCCTATCATCTTTATTAATTGTCTAGCTCTCAGATGTATAACAAGTGATCGAAAAGATGACGGCCTCAGTCAGGCACATCTTAGTCTTCAAACTAATATCAGTGTTTCTCAGTAATTTGGAGAAGTTTCTGATGACAGACTTTTCTCAGCCCAATTTATCTCCTGATCTCCTGACTTCTGGTACCAAATGGATGCTGGCTACAAGTAAGATAAAGTTGTTGGTAGTTCCCACTAATTTAATTTATTTGAACAATATTAAAGTTGAAAAGAATTATCTATTATGAGATGAATAAATAATTTAGCTGCAAAAAATAAATTTATTTTAAAGGTTTTTCTTTTTAATTGATTGTGTCACCATTTTGAGGAATAAAACATCTATATAGCATTAGTAGCTCTCTGTCAGAAGAAGTTAAATAGAGTAATAGCTCAGGGACTCTAGGGTTTTTAATATAACTGAAAAACAAAACCTCTACTAGTGTTGTTAAAAGTTCTAATATTCTAAAGGGTGTCTTATTCAGGTGTCGGTCTTTCTGATCGCTTGCTATGCATCTAAGAACTGGACAATGAATAAAGATAACAGAAGAATACATATCTTTGAGCTGTCATGTTGGAGAAAAGTACTGAACATTCCATGGCCTGCCAAAAGAACAACAAAAATGTCTCAGAGAAAGTACAGCCAGAGTGCTCCTTGGAGGTAAAGATGATAAAGTTTTGCCTCCCATACTCTGGGCATGATGCTAGGAGATGCTATTCCTTGGAGAGGGATATGGTGCTTGGAAAGGCAGAGTGTTGGTAAAGGAGAAGAAGACTCTCAACCAGGTGGACTGACAGAGTGACTGCCACAGTGGGCTCCAGTTTGCCAGGAAGTGTGAGGATGGTACAGGATGGGACAGAGCCAGATCTGTTGTTCTAACAACAACAAAAACAACTCTAAAAACAACATTCTTGAGATCCAAGAAAGTATGTGTGCCAAGAAAGTAAGTAAAGAAAAGAAGAAATTGATCTGTTTCTTTAGCATTAGTTTTTCTGTGGATATTTTGTTCACTGAGGTAAGATGCCTTGTCAAGCTTCTGCTGCATTTTATTTTTCTAAAAATTCTGAAATGCTTAAGGGATTCTGTGAGAAGCAAGGAGCTGTTCCACACTTTTAAAACACATGGTGTGATTCTTCTGAACCATTTTTTGACCTTAAGCTTATTTCTCTTTTCTTACCCAGGTTTATCTCATGACTTATTAACAAATTTTGCTCTGTATGTACAGAATGGGCATTTGGCACTATTGAAGATGTAAAAAAAAGGTGATATAAAATCAAAATACCAAGATTCTAAACTATTAGATCTAAATATATTTTGAACACTGACAGCAGACAAAATGTAAGAGCTTTTCAAAGGATAAAGTTAGCATAAATAATTTATCAGGACATTATCTATTATGTTTTATGTAAAGTATGCTTGTACCATAAACAACCAAATTGTGTGTAACTATCATCAACCATTTTAAATTTTCAAGGTGCATTCCCTCTGATGACAATGGAGGAGTAGTGATAAATTTCCTTGCCCAGTTTTCTGCTTTTCTCTTTTTCTTCTGTGAGTTGGTGGCACAGATCTGTTTGGCATTTGTGAAAATCTGAAAATTCTGACTGTGTAAAGTAGAATACTGACTGAGAAAAGAATTCTCCTGTGACTACAACACGCTGAGTTTATTTTGGATAAGATTTAAAGAAGGCTTTGAAAGTGATTAGAAATATTCTAATTCATTAAGATTTTTTTAGAACTTACTATTGAATTTCAAGTACTTTAACAAATAATATACATGCTATTCTCACCAAATAACTTTTTTCCCCCTTACCTGTTTTGTAGCTTCATTTGCAAGACCTTTAGCTTCTTTGGCAATTTCCTCAGCTTCATCAATATAGTCCTTAATGTTGCTGTATGCTTTGAAGGCCACAGTGGCATTAAAAGAAATGTTTTTAGCCTCATCAAGGATTCTGTTGGGATGAAAACAAAACCCCAAACCATCACAATAGTTGGTCCTTAAATGAAGAATATCTTACTTTTAATATATGTGACATCTGAGTGATAACTGTACTGTTAATTCCAAAACAGTTAGGGGACACTCATATTGAGCTCTACTTTATAATTCAAACTCATACACCTGAATAATTGAACTATGAACCTGTCAACATCTTTTAATTATTTCAAAAAGTGAATTTTGTTGTTATGGACCCTCAAGCCAGGCTGGACTCATAGCTGATCCTCCAGCAGGTTTTCAGAAGCTATAAATCACACAGGAGAAGAATGCCCATCTTTTTCCCATGGAACAACTAGTGTATCCGAACCACTTGCCTCTGGTTGACAGTAGACCTCCCTACCACTAGACCACCAGAGCATCCTTTAAAATATATGCACCATGGTATTTGCTGATGTAACATTGTTAAGTATATAATTGAGTGAGATCTATTACATTACAATAATTAACATTGTGTAACTATCACAACCAATATTGTGTAAATATTTATATTGTGCCTTATGTGTCTCTGAGTCAGTTCTGAATCAGTGACCTAACATTATGTACAACAGAACAAAACACTAGCCACTCTCATGGTAGACTCACAGTGGCTGCTTAGTGCATGCATCCCCTGAAACTTTCTCTGGCCACGGACATCCCACAAGCATGCAGAGTGAGGCAACCCCTTATTTTCAATCACGAAGTATATTCAGATTTCCAAGTATGTATTCTGCAATGCTGGACTGAACGGTCACAGACTATACATGGGTCAGTATGCTTCTCAGATAGGAGAAAATGAAGCAAAGTTACTCCAAGCCACATGACCAATAGTAAGTCATTAAGGAGCAGAGCTTGAGTTCTCTGTTTTTGAGATTATTGTTTAATCTGCCACCGTTAAATAGTAAAGGATGTTATGCTGTTAATGTCTGTAATTTTCAAATCAAATACTTTCCCTTTTTATGTGGGTATTTTATGGATTTAATTACACTTTTAAAAAGATACATGGAAACACTGGTGGCATGGTGGTTAATTCATTGGCTGGTATCCAAATATCAGCTAGCTATAAAAATGATATTCTATGATGTCATATTGGACAAGGACAATTCTACTCTATTCTATAAGGCTGCTGTGAGGAAGAAGAGGCACAACGGCAGTCATTAACTATACATTTGCCCCTGCTTGTAGTAGTGGGATTTGGTTTTTTGGGGTTTTTTTAGATGAAGTAATTTCAGAGAGTCAAGTAGACTCTAAACCTAATAATTTCTAAATGGTGTCACATAAAAATGTATAATTGATATAGACACGTACAGGTAGATTATAGAGACCATCTGAAAGCTCGTTACTGCCAAAGAACAGAAAGGATTAGCCACAGACACTAGATATTATGGGAGATGTCTGCAGAAGGAAACCAAGCATACCGATGGGGATTTTTAGCATCCAAATCAGTGAGAAAATAAATTTCTGTTCTTTAAAGTCTCTCCCCTGTGGTCTATTTTGTCACGGCACATTAGGTAACTAATATCAAGCTTACACATGGTAGCTATTAAAAAAGAAACACTTTTGGGGAAAAAAATGTTCCAGGAGTTAATAGAATCTATAGTTACGGCTCTATTGTATATATGATTTTTTTGAGGCCTGCTATTTTGGTAGTGGATGGCCAATACTTCTCCCTAGTCTGTCTTAACTTGGGCAGGAAGGACTAGTCCTTAGAGGGACTTCATGCTTTGAAGGGTTGAGGGACAGTGCAGGAGAAGAAGACCCAGGATGAGAAGGATTGATTCAGTGACTACAAAAATGGGATTAGGTCTGCTGGAAACGATGAGATTGGCTCAGGATAGGAGAGAGTTCAAAGCTAATGTACACTGAGTTGTTACCATTCCAGGCTACTCAAAGACACATAAAAACAACAAATAGTTCTGGCAGTCTTCAATTGCCCTTTATACTAATTGAGGAGAAACATACTAGAAAAACGTAGAGAGATCACAAATCATAATGCCCTTCACTTGTCTCTCTTTCCTCTAACTCATGTAACAATCTTTGCCATAGCAAGCTGCTATACAATAAGTATACAATGTCTCCGATAAGTATACAATGTCTCCACTGGGTTTGGAAGAGAATAAAAAAGATGGAAACTTATTCAATGAAACGCAATATATATATGGAGCCATGTTTTCCAAAGCAAACTTTTAAACAATGAATTGTTTTGATTTGATTAGAAATATCTAGCTGAAAGTTTAGCAGAGTGTATGTTTACATATCATTATTTAAAATGCTAATAAGACAACCACTGTGCTTTTTAATAGAGTAGAAAATGCTTTTTTTTCCTCTGTGTAGCCTGAGGCTACCATCACTCCCCACCACGCCATATTTGCATCCACTTTTAACTCAGACTTTTGATGCTGCTCCAGTAGAGCTGTGCCCAGACCCACCTAATTAAGCTCTTCCACAGAAAGACTTCCTGGCACGTATGTTCATAATTACAGAATCAGGATCTGAAAGCACTTCTCCCAGTTTGGTGGTGGTTTGTTTTTTTTTGTTTTTTTTTAAATTTCAAAACTTTTGACCAAGGGTCAATATACACAGACAATTTCCAACAACAATGACATACCCGTCAAGGACAGCAGAGGAGTCATTCAACTGGGCAGCATGGCCCTCAGCCTGGGATACCTTCTCTGCAAGCTTCCTGTCCTTGATTTCACGGGAGAGGTCATCTATTTTCTCTGTAAGCTCCTCAGACATTGGTGGCAATTTAGTCTTAATATCTTGAACATACTGTTATGCAGAGAAGAGATGACACGTTAAGCAAGCAACTTTGAGTTTCTTCTCATTGAAGAATTTCTCGAAAAGACATGATTGCACATGTTATTATTACTTTTTAGAACTCAGCATTTATTAACATGGCAAAAAAGAATAAAGAATGAAAAAATATATAATAGAGCAATTAAAAAAAATTCAGCACATTTACCTAAAAAAGAGCTTAACATAAAATTCCCCCCCCCCATTTCTAGGTATAACTTCTTAGGTTGATTTATACATTAACATATAAAAGTCATTCGAAATTTGTAGAATGTTTGTATTTTTATTAACATACAACACTGTGTAATCCGGTAGACACTGGTTATAAAATCTGATTGTAGATTTCCATTACTTTTTTTATTCTGCAGATTCCCTCCATATACTTTCCTTCTTTGGCACTATGTTTCATACAATCGTTCCCTTACATTGTGATTTATAAAATTAATCACTGATGTGCTATCATTACCCCATCTAGTCGGGTCCCCACCCGATTTTTCCCATTTCCCCTCTCTCCACCCACCAAATTTGTATAACTTTTTTATCCAATATTACATAAATATTGAAGCTGTCGTAGGAAAAAGAAATATTCTTTGTTAGTATGATTAAAAAAACACAGGAAATGTGTGTTGGGACAATGGGAAATCAAATGGATGAGAGTACGCATCTATGTATGTTATAACACTTAGCTTTATCATTGTTTTCCCATATGAGTGCCTTAGTTGTTATCATTGCTCTTTTAACTTTGCACCTTATCGCATACTTACTTCTATCACTGCATTGATTTCATCTGCAAGACGCCTGGCTTCATCAAGTATGTCATTGCCTTCTTTTAAAGTGTTCTCAGTTTGCTCTTTGCCACTTTGTACAGCTTCCTTCTTTTCCTGTAACAGTGTGAACAAAGCATCAGAATGCCATTTGGATAAAGCCCGAACCAGCTCTGTAGTAATGAATTTTATAAGATGACAAAGATTTAAGAACAAGTTAGATTGTATTGACAGAGTGGTTAGATGAGAATATAAGCTACCAGCCAATGCTTCAAGAATCGCTCTGTTTAGATGCCTGCACAGGAAATGTCTTCCTTCCGTGCAGAGAGTCATATATAAAAGGGAAAGTTATAAGAAATGGCTGAAGATTTAAACTTGCTTTTAAAACCACATATACATCAATTTTCAATGAAAATACTTTCGTATTGCTATTTCTAGGTTCAAAACTGTATGGTCAGAGAAGGTGCTTTGTATGACTTCAATATTTTTAAATTTGTTGAGTCTTTTTTGAGAAAAGAAACCATGTACATGTTACAGTTACAGAGTTTTAACATATATTATACATATGTTATATAGCTATTATAACCATATAAGAACTCTGTAACTGTAACAAGTACATGGTTTCTTTTCATATATATATATATATATTACATGGACTATACATGTTATAGAGTATGTTCTATAAATGAGGGTGGTGTTTTATAAATGCCGTTTAGATCTAATGGTTTGCATTTGTTGTGTATGTATTTTTTAAAAAAATTTTATTATGTTTTGATAAAACTGTACAGAGCAGTTTGGTATTCCATTCAACAATTTATACATATGTTGTATTATGACATTTATTAAAATTTCCACATTATAACAATACTCTATAGTTCTTGTTTTCATTCATCCTTCTAACCTCTCCTTCCTACCTTCCTAAGCTTTATTCCCAGACTAATATTGACCTAGGCTCTAGTGTGTCAGAAAGGATGAGGATGGAACATGATAGGGTAGGGTCCAGGTCACTATAATTTTGACTCAACAGCACATCACAACAACAATGTTGTCCTAGAGAGCTCTGGTGGCCTAGCGGGTAGGGAGTTGTGTATCAACCTAAAGGAATAGGGTTTGAATCTACCAGGTGTTCTGAAGGAAGTAAAATGGATAATCTCCTCCTGTGAAATTTACAGTCCCTAAAAATTTACTGGAGGGTTGGCTATGAAGTTATTACAACTCAAAAGCAATAAAAACCGTGAACACTGTTGCCCTACTGATCTTGTTTGGTTGATTATTTTAAGAATGATTATCACCCTGGTGTTACTTTTTATTTTATAGGTCGGCCAGCTATTTGATTCACAGAATGAGTTCAGTTCCAGCCAGGTCCAAAGGCTGGTTAAGGACCATATGCTTGGGGACTTCACCAGTCACTAACAAATCCAAAACACTGGCAATTTTCAGGTTATATCAGAGTCTAATTGGTTTTTTTTTTTAGTCTAATTGTTTTATGGTTTACTGAAATTCTCAATGTTCTTTCTGAAATGGAAAGTAATGTGTTGAAGTGTTCTATAATATTTTGCAGTTATATATATATATATACTTCTCCATTCATATTAGTATTTGTTTCATGCATTTCTGAATCACTGACTTAAGGTGGACATATATTCAAAATTGCTATGTTTACATACTGAATTGACCTTCTTTATCTCTTGTAACGGATTTTTATTTAAAATCTATTTTTTTGGTTTACTGGCTGCATCATCAGCTTTTCTTCATCAACTTTATTATCAGTCTACTTGTGCTTTTATATTGAAAGTGTTTATCTTGTGGACAAAAGAAGGAAGGATCATAATTTTATTTATTTAGCCACTTTTATCCAATCTGTCACTTTCTGACTTTTGCATGGGGTGTGTGTGATATGTAGGCCACTTACATTTATGCTAAATTTAATTAAGATAAAATGCAATTTATGCTGAATATAAATGTAACACTAAAAATGAAGTGTATCCCTCACTCATTTTGCTGTGTTTTTTTCAAGGATTCATAGCTTCTTTGTTGTGTTTTTTTTTTTTCAATTCTTATTTGTATGTAGCTGCTACCTTGTAATGAACCTTCTTATTTTCTTTTGATTTTTTCCCTCCGCTGGAGGATTTCTTACTGTTTACTACATATATTATATCACACAATTTACAATAGTGACAACATTTAATACATAGAAACTAATTAACAGACCATCCGAATGTAATAAATCTATTCCTAATTTGTTTCTCCTCCCATTTCTGTTGGTGTCTCCATTAATAGCTATATAGAACATGTATTTGATAAATTAATTTTTGCTTATTTCTTACAAAATTGATGCTGTGTTGTTTGTGGGATTTAATTATTGAGTTTATTTCCTAAACTATATATGTTGTTGTTATGTCCCACTGAGTTGTCTGAAACTCATAGCGACCCTTGTACAACAACTCTGAACCCTGCTGCCCTATCCTGAGCTAGTCTAACTCTGAGACACCTAAACTCATTACCCTAATTATCATGTCAATCCATCTCAACTGGGATCTTTTTCTCCTGTGCTGTCCCTCCCTCCCAAGAACAATGTCCTTCTCCAAGGACTGGTCCTTCCTAGATATGTGCCCAAAGTATGTGAGATAGAGCTTAAAAATCCTTGCCTCCAAGGGGAAACTTGGTTTCACCCTCTCTAAGACAAACCTATTTATTCTGCTAGTGGTCCATGTTATGTTCAATACTCTTCTCCAGCACCACAGCTCAAATCTCCTTCTGTCATCCTTAGTTATTGTCCAGCTCTCTGATGCATAGTATGTAATTGCGAAGACCATGGCCTAGATCTAGTCCAACATCATTGCTCTGCAGGACTCTGGAGAGGTCCCTGACAACAGACTTTCTCAATGCAATTTGTCTTTTGATTTCCTGATTGCTGGGGTTAAAAGTGTTGATTGTGGAGCCAAGCAAGCTGAAACTGTTAACAACCTCAATCTCTTCTTCATCTATCATGGTGCTGCCAATTGACCCAAGGGTGAGAATCTTTGTCTTCTTGATGTTAAGCTTCAATCCATATTGAAGCCTACAGTCCATGACCTTCTACAGCAAACACTTCAGGTCCTCCCCAGTTTCAGGAAGCAAGATTGTATCATCTGCATATAATTTGTTTTTATGATTTCCTATGCTGTTGTGATGTTGTGCTTTTGTTTTTGAGATCTCACATTCTTATTAATTTTTTGTTTCTTCTTTGTATGCACACAAGTGTTTAGTTAAGGTTATTGCCTTCCTGTTTGGAGTACTCTGAGTAACGCTTGCAAAGTATTCTCTCCACTGCTCTCAAGCTGGCTCTGCTCACAGTGACCTTCCACCAGGTTTCCAAGGCTGTGCTCTTTTACAGGAGGAGACTATCAGGCTTTCACCCACAGACTGCCAATACATTTAAACCATTGACCTTTGATTAGCAGCTAAGTACATTATGCACTGTACCAGCTGGGCACCTTAAGGCTAGTCTCAAAACAAAACTAAAGGCACTAGAACCAACCCACCCAATGCAGCATTAGTTCATAGTGACACATTCCCAGAGGATCTGTTCTACAGTTATTTTTTTTTAAGGTGGTATGTCTTTTGTCCTCTTCTTCTAAGGAAAACTCTCTGAGGTAAACAACTCTTGATTGTCAGTTGCTTTTGTTCAGTATTTACGTATGCCACTCTATTGTTTTCTGGCCTTTACCGTGACCTTAGGGATATTTGCATTGATTGAATGGAAAACTCCTACTGTATTGTTTTTTTCTCGTGCTGCTTTAAGATTGCTCTTCTTGGTTTGAGTTTTTAAAACCTTTATTAGCATATGGGTGGCTTGTAATTAATCTTTTTGCATCTGCTCTGTTTGGGTTTTATAGTTGCAGTTGTGGGTGGCTGTTGAGGTCTTGAGAAGTTCTCTCTGAGCAGATCTTGGATATTTGTTTTTGTGCCTTCATTATAATTATGGTGCTTTGAGATTTCAATAATTCTAATGCTGGATTTCCTACTGTAACACTTATTTCTGTTGGTTGTTGCTATGTACCATAGTAGACTTGGAATTAACACATAGCTGACCCTGCAGCAGGGTTTTTGAGGCAGTAAATTGCTTAAGAGGAGATTGTTGTCTTCTCCCCAGCAGAGCAGCTGGTAAATTCAAGCAGCATGCTTTTTAAATTTCTTTTTAGTTTATATTGGCTCACACACAAAATTAATATACATACATTCCTTCATTCACATGGTGTTTCATACGATCATTTCCATATATTGTGGTTTATAAAATTAATCCTCACAGCAGCATTATTCACAAAGCAAGAAATTGGAAACAGCCCAAATATCCATTAACAAATGGACTGAAAAATTGTGGTACATTCACACAATGGACTTCTTTGCAGCATTCAAGTGCAACAATTTTGAAAAATGCTACATAATATGGGAGAGGCTGAAGAACATTATGCTGAGTGAACTAACTCAATCTCATAAGGACAAATAATGCATAAGACCATCATTGTAAAAATAGAAGGATGACTAATAAGATGTGTACAGGGGTCCAAAGGGGGAAGGGAGGAGCAGAAAGACAGATGGTGGGAGGAGGAAAAGTCATGGGCAGAGTTTGGTTGGGGAAGGAGGGGTGAGGGAATTAGGAAAGATCCAGTGGGGATCTGAAAAGATGGAGTTATCGAGGGCACAGATCAAGCAGCATGCTTTTGGCTTAGCACCACAGCTCCTTACCAGTAGGCCACCAGAGCGATCTTACTTCTGTTTAGGTTTGGTTTTTCTCTCTTGATTCTCTTTCTTTTTTTAAATTATTTTTTTATTGATATTTTAACAAGAGCTTACACAAAACTTAGATTTCCATTCATTCATTGTTGCTATTCATCCAAGTTCCATTCATCCAAGCTCGCTTTTCTCTTTAAAAATATTCTTTCCTTGTTGCACAAGTTCTTCATCTTCTAGTTTATTTTATTGCCTGCTCAGCTCTATTGCTAAGTAGTTCTTTATTTTTTTTCTAATTCAATTGCTTCATTTTTTCAGTAGCACCTTCTTTTTAGATTTACTAAAATTAAATCCTTGCCAGGCTTTCTGTTATTTTTCCTGCTCATTGATTTTTGCTTACTTTA